CTTTTGATCTCTGGAAAGGTTTGGATCCAGACTGTGCAGGTGGCTCTCCCTTCTGAAGAAAGATGTCCCATTTGCATCTGGTCCCTGGAGCACCTCTCTGTGTAGTGGGTTGACCCTGGCCAGATACCAGGTACCCACTAAAATTTATTACCAACAGGATAAGAGCCAAAGAGTGAGAAATAAAACAGCCTTAAAAACACCTTATCCTCACCACTCCTTCCTTCCATGTTCTCCCTCCTCCCCCCCAGCTGTGCAGGGGGACAGGGAATGGGGGTTACTGTCAATTGTTGTTTCTGCCGCTGCTCAGGGAGAGGAGTTGGAGTCCTTCCCCTGCTCCCCTGGGGTCCCTCCCACAGGAGACAGTCCTTGATGGACCTCTCTGGTGTGAGTCCATCCCTCAGGCAGCAGCTCTTCCCAACCTGCTGTCCCATGGGTCACTCCTCCACGGAATCAGTCCTTCAGGAATGAGCTGTACGGGTGTGGGTCCCCCACAGGCGCCACAAGTCCTACCTGGGAAAAACCTATTCCAGCCTGGGCTTCCCTCTCCATGGGCTGCAGGTCCCTGCCAGGACCCTGCTCCATCCTGGGCCTCTCATGGAGTCACAGCCTCCTTCCTGCATCCACCTGCTCCAGCGTGGGCTCCCCCAGGGGCTGCAGGGGGGTCTCTGCACCCCGATGCTCCCCCAGGGGCACAGGGGCACAGCTCCCCACCCTGCTCTGCCCCACAGGCTGCAGGGCCTCAGCTCCAGCACCTGGAGCACCTCCTGCCCCTCCTTCTGCACTGACCTTGGTGTCTGTGTTGTTATTCCCATGTTCTGACTCCACTCTTCCCTGGCCGGAATTCTTTCTGCACAACAATCTTCTTTTCTCAATATGTTATCCCAGAGGTATTACTGTCACTCCTGACTGGCCCGGCCTTGGCCAGTGGCAGGAATTCCATCCTGGAGCCGGCTGGCATTGGCTCCATGGGACAGGGGAAGCTTCTGGCAGCTTCTAACAGAAGCCACCCCTGTAGCCCCCCCTGCTACCAAAACCCAGCCACAGAAACCCACTACACTCTCCTTGTCATATCCTCCTTTAAACTGCAAAATCTTACCAAGCCAGACTGTGTGTGTGGACCTTCCCCTTCTGGGTCAGCTGTAGAGCAGAAATGCTCACATGTTTCAGTGTTATTGTGGACTGGTGCTATGGACTTCCTTGGCTCACCTGGCAGCCTCTCCATCTTTAACTCTGGAGTTAGATTTTCACGGTGTATTTTGGATAAAGCAGAAGGAAGTGAAGGAATGTCCAGAGATCTTGAAGCCTTGTGTCATTTGCTGAGGTGCTTGTATGCCTGATTAATTATTGCCTAATTATAAGCCCTCAGGGTCATACTTTTCACCAGTGAGAAGAAAATGTTACGCAGACTGCCAAGAAATATCAGATTTTCCATCCCAGCTGTTTTCTGATTGAATGGCTGCACCATGAATTTAAGAGAGCTGTTCAGCTGCACTTGGGGATGGTTTGCCATTTGTTTATCCCTCTAATGTCATGCCAAACAGAACCTCAACTTCTCCTCTCTCTCTCACCAGAGGATTTTTGGTACCCAGCAGCAGTGGATAGGTAGGGCTGAAATGACACACTTTGTTTTCCTTTTTCATCTCAGAATGTTGCTGTGGGAAGGGGACAGAAGTACAGTAATGCTCACACTGTGTTGCAAGGCAAAGGAATGGGGGGATTCCTTTTTTTCTTTTTTTATTTTCTGTTTAAAAATAGAACAAAACTGTTGAGAAAACTTTGGAAAGGGTTTAAATGGCTAAACTAGGCTGTAGTTCTCCTTAATCTCACGGGTCTTTCCAAAATCAAAGAAACTCTATTTGAATAGCTAAGCTTCCATTAGCAACAAATTTAACACAGTGACTGATAGAAAACTTGCAGGTCCCTAGCAAAGCACAGAGCAAAGACAGAAAAGATGGTAGGAAGACACTGATTTGTGCAAGTTAAATAATCATGAGTCTATTGCAAGAAAGGAGCACATTAAACTGGGGTTGTTAGGTTATCAACAGCACAGTCACTCAATAGACATGCAACATATTTTACTGCTGTTTTGGCATTAGTCTCTGGCAGAGAACTATCTCTAAACACAAGAGATATCTATCACAAAAAAAAAAAATGGGGACTAACCGGTGTCCTGAGATGAATAGAGGTCAGAAATCTGAATATCAGTGACCTCTGAGGAACTGCTGAAGTGCTGTGGGATGTGTATTTTAGGTAGTGATGGCTGAGGGGAGGCAATACATGTGTGTTTGTAAGAAGAAGGCAATGAACATACTGCTCTAAGTGAAGAAACAGAATAAAAACCAACAGGTAAGAGAATTCCAGGTTTAGAAATTTTTTGAACTTTCTAAAACGCTGGTAGTTGTTCACTGGAACAGATTATTTAAGGAAAATCACTGTCTTTGCAGATTGCAAAATCCAGGTGGGATAAACACCTGTTAAAAGTTGTGTAGATAGAGTTGTTCCAGCTTCACATTTGGGTGTTAGAGGCATATTCTGTAGACTATACAATAAATCTGTGCAGAAATGAAACATCAAATTTCTGTTAAAAGGCAACATGCAGAAAGTTCCCATTTTTGTCCAGCTGTGCTTTATGGGCACCTTAATAGTACAGACCTCAGAGGTTCACACAAGAGAAAAATGATGTTCACTTTGTCTCAGGACAATGAAGTCTATTCTTAGATCTGTGCAGTGTCCACTGGGAAGTGTTGGCCTTGTCACTACTCGATGTAATTTAAACTGTGCAGTAGGAGGGGATCTCTTAAGGGTATCAAAACCAACAGAACATCTGAATTAGTAAGCAAAATAAAATTGTTTCTAGCAAATGTCTCTATGCTCTCTGGCTACAGGCATTGGGACCTTTGCAGCCTCGTGGGGGGTGTGATGAACACGTGTGTGCCGAGGGGCATTTCCAGCCACCACCATTTCTTGTTTGGAGGGTTTAATGCAGAGACTTGTTTGAGACCAGGTACCTCCACTGTGAAAGCATCATCAACAACCTGAATTTTTGGGGGGAAAACCAAAATATCACATCAACCCACTAGTCTGGTCTAAATTTTTTATTGACTTATTTATTTTTTTTCCCCACTGCCTGAAACATGCCCTGGGCCAAAGGGAGTTGTTTGGGTTTTTAGATCCAAAACTTTTGCTGATATTCCATAAAAATGCCAGTTCCCAGTCTGTTCTATGTGCTACCACCTCTAGTGACTTTGCCAAGCACCTTCTCTCTTGTATTAAAGTCTGGTAAGCTCTTCAAGCAAAAATATTCTGTCTGTACTTCAGAAGGAGCCTTTACTCGTCTGTGTTTGCCTGGAAACTGTTTGCAGGAGAGTTGTGTGTTCCCCCTGGGGGGAGAACAGCTCCTGCTGCTCACTGCAAAACAACTCAATCCCCCTGTTTCTGCCCTTCAGGAAGGATCCCAGTTCTCAGTGCAGACCCCAGGATTTGCTCTGTACCTCTCTGTGCCCTACAGTGTGTTCTGGATTCAGCCACTCTGTCAGTAGCTTTCACAACAGCATCAGAACTCCTGGAATACACTTGGATTTGCCAGCATAGGAGGTTTTTATTCCTGAGTGGAGACCAAATATAGATAAATGAACTGTTTAATTTCAAAATTAATACAGAAAATTGAAAAAGAACATTATACTTGTGTTAGAGGATTTTAAATTGACCTGCTCCCCAGATGTAGGAGCAACAGGCTTGTGGTTTCTTCCCCAAGAATTTAATCCTGCAGGCACAGCTCATGTGGAGCAAGTCCTTAGTCACAGAACAGTTTGTTTTGACAGTCCTAAATGATCCATACGAGTCACCCTTGCTGTACAAGAATTAAGTAATGTCTCCATGTCAGCACTTTGCAGAGAGCATGCTGAAGTTAATTTGCACCCCAGGTCAGAGCCCAGATTCTTTCAAAGGAGTGACACTGAGCATAACTTTTTGGATGTCTGTAGACCTTGGCTGAGGTCTTGGCAGCACCGTGTGTGTGAGTGTCCTGCACAGGACCAATGAGGAACCAGAGCAGCTGTTCCCAGGCCTTGGCTTTGACTTATGACTAGTCACAGAAATTGTCCAAATTCATTTTACTGCTGTACACATCAGCAAGTAAAGATCTATTAAATTACCAATGGTAATTGCCATCACTTGTTTCTGGTACTTTGTATTTAAAAAAATTACAAAGTCTTTACCTGAAGGTTGTTCACTTCAGTGTGTTACACAGGACAAAGGAGATCCACAGATATTCCCACACTTCTCTGCTTTTGCTGGCAGAGCATGAAGCCAGAGGCTTCATGTAATGAATTGAATGACAATTCTGTGCAGAGAGTAAAAACCAATGACAAACATCACTGCTGTGACCTTAATTTTCCTGTCATTTACCCCTTTTGAATGATGCTTAGAACTGGTATCAATCAAGTATTATCTTCAAGAGAGAGAATAACTGTGCAGAGTCAGATCTTTCTTTTCTATATGACTCATCCTTAATTGCCTGCATTCAACAAAGGACAATTCAGTTTGTGTGGAAGCAGAGGAGATCTCAAAGGGAGAGTTACAAACAGCTCCTTCTCTCTGAAGTGCTTCTTGATGGAGCCATGATGGACCAATATCTACAGAGTCAATTCCAGCTGCAGGTTATTTCACATTTATCTAGACAAAACAGAAAAGTTCTGGATTATTACTAATACACACTGCAGACAGGAGCCTGAGGTGCAAAGAATGGTCAATTCATAAATCTAATGTGACATTATCTAAAACTGAACAGCTGGAGAAAAAAGTCAAGTTTTTCATTCTACCTTCAGGATAAAAGATGCTTGGAAGTAAAAACATTTGGAAGGGTATTATCTACCAGATTTATAGCATTGTTTTTGAAAAGTTACTGTTCTACTTATTTGCATTGTACAAGGCAGGTGCATTCATGGCCTCCTCAATGTTCCTTTCATTTGTTCAAGTTTCCTTTCACCCACTTATTTCAGTTGTGACCAAGGGTAATCTGGATTTCTTTGGGTCAAAGATAAGGATAAATACCAAAGGACCAAGACATGCACTGGATGTTTGTTCTTCACCTGCTGTGTGTGCCTGTATGTGCCTTCAGGACTCGCAGAGCTGAGGATGGACATGTAATGATGCCTTATGAAACAAGTTTAAAGCATTCTAGTATGGTAATATCTACTATTTGCTTTGTTCTGATTTAAATAGCTCCATGACTTGCCGGCTCAGGGGAGGAGTAGATCCAGCACTATCTGTCTTAGTCCAGAGGACCTCAGTGGGATTTATAAACAATATTTTCAGGAATCTTATCAATCATCCTTAAACCCCACCACCTTTGACATGTACCACATGAGCACCACGGTAACAAATAGACCTGGAAAGGGACCCATTCACACCCACCTTTTTATACCCTGCAAACAGTTTTTAATGCAAAAAAATACCTACTTGTGCTTTTGCTCAGTCGTTGTTCCTCTCAAGTTGTTCCATGATAGCAATAGCATGGCATTGTCTGGAGGCTTTGTACCTCAGGCCAGTGATTTAGATGGGAACGTGCTGGTGAGATTGGGCCCAACATTTTTTCCTTTTGCATTTCCCTCAGTACTTTCCATGTAAAGAGCTGGATGCTGTAGAAAGTAACCCTGTTCTGTGGGTATGGAACCCAAATTCATACTTGTAGATGCCTAGAACCAAAAGGGAAATTTGTAAAGCCTGACAGGTCATAAAAACCTCTAGTAAAGGAAATTTAAGGTTATTTGCCTGGAATTTAAGTTTTTCTCTGTCTACATCACAGATTTTTCTAACATACAATCTAAACTCTTTTCAATGCAAATTAAGCTGCTACTCTCTGATTGTACAGATAGTGGTCAGTCTGTTGTACACTACAAGCTGTTTTCATCTGTGCCCTCCTTTCTTTCTAAAGAGATCTACCTCATTTAATTTTTCCTTGCATCTCCTTTGGCTGTCCTCTGAATTCTCTTCTCTTTGAGATCTGTCCATCTCTGAGTGCAGTGGGTACAACTGGACCCTGTCTCCCAGCTGAAGACTCCCTAGTGAAGACAGAGAAGAAAAAATTACTTCCCTGACATAGAGATGACACTGGGGCCAAAGCCAGGCCCACTTAGGGTGCTCTGTTTGCAGCCATGCCTTTGGCTCCTGATAATTCCATGATCACTGCCATCCTCCCAGCACATTTGGTACTATACACACAAACACATTCCCTCCTCCAGACACCACGGGGAACTTACCTTTGTAATGCCTTGATTTGGGGTCATCTTTCCAACACGCTGCTCTTGAATTTGCATTGTCTCCTGTGGTATTTGCAGCCGTGGTGGTGCCAGGTCAGGCACACAAAGTGGGTTTCCCACGGCCATCCAGTTTAGCCCGTTGGGGGACAGAGAAGCTCAGCAGGACCTTTGTTTTTTTCAGAAATTATTTGGTGTTTTTCTTGCTCTGTACTTAAAATGCGTTGTGAGCGTAAAACGCCACTGTGGGATGGGAATAGATTTTTTAAAAAGAAGTATTGGAAACTAAGCATGAAAAAAAAAGGACGTCCCTTTTGCCATCTATGAGGGGCAGGGGGCTGACCCTAAAAAGAAACAGTGCAAAAGCTCCTGCTTGTTGGGACATGCAGGTGGGCTGCTGTGCTTTTCTTTTATGAACATACAAGAACTGCAATTTCTGGGGGAAAGGGCAAGGCTTTTTTATGAGAAGCAATCACAGGGACTCATTTTTTCCAAAAGGTACATTGTACTTGCTCTCGGATTGTTGCGCTGTGTGGTGATGAATAACACTTGGAAGCAGATGTCAAAAGCATCAGTGCTCAGTGGAAATAGTACATTTTTTCCATTTTATGTCTAGTTTAGACTATATTAAAGAGGAGGGAAAAAATTTAAAAGCTGAAAACATGTTGAAACAAGTTACAGTTGTAACAGAATTGACGACAGCCAGGAAATTCCAAGTTCGGGTCCTCACTCCGTCCTCTGGGCACTCACACTGAGAGTTCACCACTAACCCTTGGGTTAGTGTTGGTCACAACAGCTTCATCCTTGTTATTTGCTGTTATGTGTGTGCCTGTTTGATGCTGGCTGTTTTTCTCTTTTCTTTTGATCTTTCAGAAGAATTTATGGACTCCGTGTCCTGCCCCGTGTGCCTTCATACCAGCTCAAAGCTGTCAGGGAACTATGAACTTTATAAACACCCATCTAAAATGCTCTGCGTCCCAGAAAGGTCACAGAAGGTTTGTTCTAGAGACAAGAATGAACACAAATATGAACTTCTATCACTGTTTATTAAAGCATGTGATATTCACATAAACATTGCAATATTTTCTTTGCATGTGTTAGTAATAAAAACTTTCCGTATTACTAAAATCTGAATATTTAAATCATGTAATGTTATTTTTCCTTGAAGGTAATATCAAATTATATTTTACTCAGATGTTGACAACAAAAGCTGATCTGCCTGCGTTCGCTTTGATCCTCCTGTGAATGGCACAGAGCAGTTCCATGTGGACGTAGTGGGGTACAAACCAGATTACATATTAATAAATGCAGTGTAACCATCCCAACCTTGATGCCCATGCTCTGTTTACCCTGCTCCTCTGATGTGGCCAGATTGTGCATTTCTTCCATTTGTTAGGTTTGGAAAGGTGATATGATCTGGAGATTTACAGACCACGAAGATTATGGTCAAAAGTGGGCTATTGTGGTCATGTAGAGCACTTATGGATCACAGGGATTAATCCCTGTTGAAACAGAAGAATCCTGATCTTACAGTTTCCACGGATTCATCACAATCTGTCTTCACTTGTTCCAGCAGTTGGTAACCAGGATGTTAAATGTGCTCCTCAACTCTTGCTCTGTATTTGTGCACCTTTTACCCACTGCACCTGAAAGCATTTTATTTCTCAGACCTCTTCTCTTAGGTGCTTACAATGTTAGCGTGGAATCCTCTCTAATAAGTCAAACCAATGTCACTCCCAGACACCTTTACCCAGAACCTGTTCAGTTATTAATCCTGAACCAAACTGAATAAGGTCAAGTCAGAATTTGTCGATGCCAAATCTTGGGGTGAAAACTGCACCAGTACCAGACCTAGAGATGGTGTGACCACACTTCCCATATAGGATATTCCGTGTGTGAGAGTTTTTGGTTACCTGCCTATCCATGTGATCCCTGAAAAGGATCTGGAGTGGCTGTGGAGCAGATGGAAGCCCCTGCAGGAAGGCTGTAGGCTGAATGTATGACCCTGGATTTGGCTGGTGCTGCTGGCCCCTCTTCCCACGGGATGCAGATCCCTATCAGTGACCATGCCCTTCCTACTTTCTCTTCCCACGATGTTTTCTACAGTCATCCTTGGCTGATGTTTATTTTATGCTTCTTCAACACTAGAACATGTTAACGTAGTCCCAAAATCACTGGTGATTATCAGTAAGCAAGTGTATTTCTGACCCTCCTTTTGAATGCAGACAATTGATTAATCTTAGTTAATTTTAAATCTTCTTAATATCTCCCATGTTAATTTTGTCTTTCTGGCTTCTCAATGAACAGCTTTTGCTGAAGTTCAGCCAAAATAGCTTTCTGTGAACCCCTATTGATTTGGGTTAGGTGTAAATGCTCTTTGAATTACTTGCTGTTATCCCTCTATTTCCCTGCCTGGGAAGGGAGGCTGACCAGGCTGTCTTTGGCCAGACTGTCCAACCTATCCTTTTTAGAAAACTGGCACACCACCAGCTTTCTTTTAGTCCTCTGGAAATTCCACTGTCTTTCAAGAATTCCAAATATTCCAAGACTTATGATGTCGTGCGATCTTGAATCCAAACTCCCCACCACATTTCCCTTCACAAAAATAACCATGAACTTTCTAAATTCAATTTATTTCTTTAAAGCATTTCCAATGGTATAATGTTTTGTAGAATGTCTTTTATTGCAAAACCTAAATTTGAAGCCGAAAAGCTGGTTGGCTTTATCTTTAAAAACATGTTTTTTAAAAGATTCTCATTGTTCTACCCAAGCCATTCCAGTCTGTGGTATAAATAATTGTTTTAGTGTCTATTATCCTTAAACACACTGTGTGAAGAAAGTGAAATTCCAGCTGGACATGTGTAGATAATTAATTTTGGGGCAAGTTGTATCTCAAGTATACAGGGTTTGAATTTTCTGTTTGAAGTAGATTCATCATTTATCTAAACACGAGGCATTAATGTGTATTTTTTGAAGGAATATGATCAAAACCACAATGCAGACCAGGTTAGTTTTAAAAACCAGAGAATCTGGACACTCGTGGGGTGTTCAAGGAAAGTACAAATTATCAACTCCAAAGTACCTAAAGGAACAGGAAAACTGTGAGGGACAAGTTTCAGAAGAGCCCTGGGATCAGTTGGAGTTATTTGTTAGACTGGGAGCAGGGTTATGGCTGTTCTGAGATTTGAAGGTTACAAGGAGGAGATCACAGACAACATGGAAAGAACAGGGTCAGCGGGTGAGGACATCCTGGGGCTGCACTCTGTGCTCCCAGTCATAGGAAAGGATGATCACAGCTCCAGGGGTTTTTGAAGGCATGTTCTAAAGTTCAAACGCATCTTGTCTGGAGCTGTTCCTCTTCTGGTGCCCTCTTGATGTGAATGGAAAATGTTTTAGCACTTGAGCAGGTCCTTGGAAGGTCTTTCAGAAGCAGTGGCTGCAAACAAATGGTGGTCATTTGTCTGAGCAAGGTGAAGGATCCATGGGAATTTCAGCCACACAACTACATTCTCCTGTGCTTGATAAAACTACTTGTTCTCAAACCAACCTTCTATTTTAGCAGTGTAGCTGAGGTTAGGTGCTTATTCCTAACAGTGTTCGTCCTGTAAGCTTTGAGTTATCCTCAAAGGCTTGATGCCTTTGGTGCTGTGGCTTTTCTAAAATGCCAATGGACATTGTCACACATTAAACTAATGTCAGTCACTGCCTATTTAAAACTGAAACTGCCTCAGTGGTGGATATATGCAGCTTACAAGTTTAAAGCATTTTAAAACCAGTAACCTATTAAATACAGAACAGTTTTGTAGCATGAGAACCACTTTCTCTGTTTTACAGCTGAGGGAAACCAATGAATAATATACAGCAATGGCAGAGCTGGTGGGAAAACTCTGGAATGTTGAACATCAGGGCACCTTCAAGGACCCTGTTCTCTCCTTTGGCTCATATGGCTTCTATTATCTACAGCATTTCACTTTTTTTATCAGTGGCTTTAATATTAAAAGACATTATCCTTGGTGAACTTCTGTTTAGCAAATGTGCTTTCTGCCTTCAATCTGTTAAATGCAACCCAGAGCTCCCAAGGTTAGTGCCAAGTTAAAAAGCCCCATGAAAATGGACAAAACAACCAAAATCAAGCAAAAGTATGGCCAAGATCAGTCTTCCTCACCCCAGTATTGTTGTCAGGGAGCATAAGGACTGATCTGACCTTAATGAAATATCTGGAAGTGCTGCCTTGCAGGGAGCACAACTGATCTGCAATATCCCTGCCAGATCATGCTGCTGGCTGTGTTGGTGGGTGTGAATGAGTTTTTGATGCTCCCTTTCATTAAACTGGAAAAAAGGATTAGCTGGAGTCGAGTACAAGCTGCACTATCTGAGTGGGCAGTGAAATGGGATATTTGGGTGAGTGATGGGGATGTTGAGGGTGAATGTTTTGGTGTGTTCATCCAAACTCTATGGCATTCACCTGGCTTTGGGATTTTCTACAAATTGTGAATTCAACCCTGACTCAGTAGCAGCCACAGCAGGTAGCAGAGCATCAGTTGGCCCTCACAGTGCTCATGGTACTCTTTTTAGGTTAGGGGCTCTATCCCTTTGCTTTCCCATATAGTGTCAGACACACTTCTAAAACCCAATAAACTATAAATAATAATAGCAACCCACATGAAATTTTATGATCTTGCCTCATATCTGGTTTAGGTTTTGGGCTTTGTTAAAAATCTGCAAATCAAAACCTGTGTATTTGTGGGTTTGCAGTGACCTCACTCTGAAATCCTGGCTGCCAGGGCAGCAGCCAGAGCCCTGTGGTGTGTGTCCTGCAGGGTTACTTCCACCCCTTCCCCAACCTTCCATACCCCACATTGTGTGAGAGCAAGAACCACACCATTAAACCTTGGGAAAATATGTTATTTATGGGACTATCACAGGAGTTGTGAGGATTTCGGCTACG